TGGCGCTATCTCGGCTCACTGCAAGCTCTGCCTCCCGGGTTCAGGCCATTCTGCCTCAGCCTCCAGAGTAGCTGGGACTACAGGTGCCCGCCACCACGCCCAGCTAATTTTTTGCATTTTTAGTAGAGACTGGGTTTCAACGTGTTAGCCAGCATGGTCTCAATCTCCTGACCTTGTGATCTGCCCACCTCCGCCTCCCAAAGTGCTGGGATTACAGGTGTGAGCCACCGCACCCAGCAACACTCAGTTTCTTTACAAAAAGTTGTAAGAATAAAAGGTGAGGAGGAGAGAGGAACCTACAGGTTAAAAGTGACTAAATTACTAATTGCAATGTGTAAAGAGATCTTTTTGGATCTTCAGGTGAACAAAGAAAACATATGAAAAGTTTTACACATCGAACAGGAATATTTGAACATTCAGTAGATATTTGATATTAAGGGATTGTTTTTAATTTTGAGGTTATAATATGGGTTTTTTTATTTTTATTTTTTAAACTTTTAGGTTCATGGGTACATGTGCAGGTTTGTTACACAGGTAAACTCATGGAGGTTTGTTGTACAGACTGTTTTATCACCCAGGTACTAAGCCTAGTACCCAATAGTTATTTTTTTCTACTCCTCTCCCTCCTCCCTACCTGAGGCCTGGGGTAGGCCTCAGTGTCTGTTGTTGTTTTATTTTTAAAACAGTTTTTATCTTTCAGAGACATGTTGAAATAACTGAATGAAGTATCTCCAGATTATATATCTGAGATTTACATGAAAAGAAGCCTATGAGAGGGAAGAGTGGGTGAGGGTGTTGATTAATAAAAAATGATTGGCCATGAGTTGATAATTGTTGAAGCTGGGCAGATGGGTACATAGGAACTTGGTATTCTGTTTCATCTATTTTTGTATGCTTAAACATTTTCAAAATAAGTTTTTTTTAGAATGCTCAGTCCAAGATATTAATTAACAATTTAGTTCTTATTTATAGATATAACATCTTTTTCCCACTACAGCGTGCAGTTCTTGGCTGTCTTCTTTTGGGGAGACAGGTGTGACCATCTGTCCTGCTCCTTGCCCATCCCCACCGCCTCTCCCTTGCTGACTGTTGCTTCCCAAGGCCAAGGCCAGAGGGCGGAGTAGACATGAGGGCATTAGACCATTAGACAGCTCTCATTTACTGAGTGATCTTGGGCTCCCACCCTGGCTGGTTTTACAGCTGGCTTTTCCTGGGTTTGGTCACTTCGCTTGTGTTATGGATCCATTCTGTTCCCCAAAAAACTTTTTTTGTTTTTGTTTTTTTTTGACAGAGTCTCGCTCTGTCGCCCAGGCTGGAGTTTAGTTGCATGATCTCAGCTCACTGCAACCTCTCCTCCTGGGTTCAAGCGATTCTTCTGCCTCAGCCTCCTGAGTAGCTGGAATTACAGGCGCCTGCCACCATGCCTGGATAATTTTTTGTATCTTTAGTAGAGACGGGTTCACCATGTTGGCCAGGCTGGTCTCAAACTCCTGACCTCAGGTGATCCACCCGCCTTGGCCTCGCAAAATGCTGGGATTATAGGCGTGAGCCATTGCACGCTGCTCCAAAAGACATGTTGAACTCCTAACCCCAGTACCTGTGAATGTGCCTTTATTTAGAGAAGAGGTCTTTGCAGATGTAATCAAATTAAGATGAGGTCAGACTGGGTGTGGTGGTTCACACCTGTAATCCCATCACTTTGGGAGGCCGAGGAGGGCAGATCATTTGAGGTCAGGAGTTTGAGACCAGCTAGACCAACATGGTGAAACCCCATCTCTACTAAAAATTCAAAAATTACCCTGGTGTGATGGTGCGAGCCTGTAATCCCGGCTACTCGGGAGGCTGAGGCAGGAGAATTGCTTGAACCTGAGAGGTGGAGGTTGAGGCAGGAGAATTGCTTGAACCTGAGAGGTGGAGGTTGCAGTGAGCCGGGATGGTGCCACTGCACTCGAATGAGGTCATACTGGATTACGATGGGCCCTAAATCCTATGACTGGTGTCCTTACACGGAAAGAAATTTGAAAACACAGAGGAGGCACAGGTGAAATAAGACCATGTGAAGACAGAGGCAGGGCTTGCGTAAGCCAAGGAATGCCAAGGTTGGCAACCAAAGGAGTTAGAAGCAAGGAAAGATTATTCCCTAGAGACTTTAAAGGGAGCATGGCTCTGCTGACACCTTGATTTTGAACTTTGAGTCTGTAGAACTGTGAGACAAGTTTCTGTTGTTTTAAACCACCCAGTTTGTGGCACTTTCTTACAGTAGCCCTAAGAAACAAATACACCCGATCCAGACCTTCCCAGCTCTGGGGATGTCTCTTCTGCTGCATGCTGTGTATTTGGTCCCCACGGATGCCAGCTCCAACTGTGGCTTCCAGGAGCCCAAGCAACACATACTCCTGCAATTGGGGTCCCTCACCTTTGCCGCTGGGTCCACTTGGGCAGGACTTGAGCGCCTCTCTCCCCCACATGCCTATCCCAGCCCAAGGGAAACCCTCACCCACCCCTGACCTTGCCCACGCAGAAAGAGGTGGCTTTGCTCAGTGCAGTAGCACTTTCTGGCTCCCACGGAAAGCACTTAGTTGACCCCTTTCCTCTGTTTATATTTCCTGGGCATGAGCCAGACCCCCCTTTTAACTATAGGGACTATATACCTGGTTTTCACTCTTTTTACACTTGAGTGTGAATAACAGAAATTTCCCTTCCCCTGGAAGTCTCCCCTCTCATCTCTCATCTCTCTGACCCTTTCTTTTCTTTTTTCTTTTTTTTGTTTGTTTTGAGACGGAATTTTGATCTTGTTGCCCAGGCTGGAGTGCAATGATGTGATCTCGGCTCACTGCAACCTCCGCCTCCCAGGTTCAAGCGTTTCTACTGTCTTACCCTCCTGAGTAGCTGGGATTACAGGCACCCGCCACCATGCCCAGCTAATTTGTTAAATTTTAATAGAGATGGGGTTTCACTGTGTTGGCCAGGCTGGTCTTGAACTCCTGACCTCAGGTGATCCACCTGTCTCTGCCTCCCAAAGTGCTGGGATTACAGGCATGAGCCACTACACCGGGCCCACTCTGATCTTTTTATATCCCAGGTCTATCTGAGGTGTTCGAGAGCCTAGGAATAGGTGTTGACCTTTTCCTTTGTAAATTATTCACACAGGGTTGCCTCATAATCACTCTAACTGAATTACATGTTCCTAGAACTTGGTTAATTGTTTTGTGGGTTGTTCTCCTTTTTTGGGTTGTAAATAACATCATATATATACTAAAACTAACTTTTAAATTCTACAGTATGTCCTAAAGATCCTTCAATGACAGTATATATCATCTGATCTTACTATTATTATTATTATTATTATTATTATTATTATTATTATTATTATCTGAGGTGAGGTCTCTGTTGCCCAGGCTGGAGCGCACTGGTGGGATCATAGCTCACTGTAGCCTCAAAATCCTGGGCTCAAGCGATACTCTCACCTCAGCCTACCAGGTAGCTGGGACTACAGATGCACACCACTACACCCAACTAGTTTTTATTTTATTTTATTTTTTGTAGAGATGGGGTCTCACTGTCCTGGACTCAAGCAGTCCTCCCACCTTGACCTCCCAAAGTGCTGGGATTGCAAAGTGTGAGCCACTGTGCCTGGTCCTGCTTTCACATTTTAAAATTCTGCCAATTGCTGTCTAACATGGGTACCTCACCTTATATTCTCTCCCATTGGCAACCTGTTAGGGTGTTCTTTTCCTCTAGTCTCCCAACTCAAGGTATTCTTCTACTTCTCAATGCAATGTTCCAAATGGTTGTAGACTCATATCAACTAACTCACTAGAGTGCCCAGAGATGAATTTCTTCACCTTGATATTATCAGCTGATACTCAGTATTCATTGCCTCTTCATTTTAGTGCACCTTCCAGTATGGCAGAAATTAGAAAGTTTTACAACACATAAACAAACTATATTTTGATACTTTCCTTCAGGTAAGGTTCTGGATGCAAATTAGGTCCTGCCAACGAGATGCTTCATTGAAAACTGGAAGGTAGAAATGAGGTTATGGCATTTTTCTCTTGCTTTCTTGACTGTTTTATGATGTCAGATATGGCCAGAGGATGGAGTTCCTCACACCCCCCCCAAAATGGTACGGTGTCCAGTTTCTCCAGATTTGTGGGTGGTAAGGGGCATTTGCTGTGGTGCCAGTGATTCCCAGATACCAGCTACTTGATCTTGGATCTTATTTGCACTAGCATTACCTTGGACTATGATCTTGGGCTCAGTCATTCCAGGGGCAGTCTCTTGATACTCAAGCTCCCTGGTTGGGACAGTTGTAACAGCTTCTCTGGTGAGACAGTTCTGCAGTGTTCTGGGCATAATTCCTGGAAACCTAGCCTACAGCCTAGTTCTGCCAAGTTTATAAACATCCAATTCCCTGTATTAAATCCCATTCTGCATAAAATCCCTAGGGTGGTATCTGCTTCCTGCAATTGAACCCTAACTGATACAGGCTTGCTATATGGCTTCTAAATTTACTTCTCAATTATAGGCAATGGCCCTGCTTAGCCATAATTGATGGCCTCGGCTCCCTTGTTGGTAGACCAGGAAGAGAAAGTCTTGGTGTTCAGCAGAATGGATTTCCACAAAAAAGTATTTAGCTGAGCCTTAGGTACTAGAACTAACAGATGAAAGAGACAATGTAGTGTTGTGAGTAAACAGAACTCCAGGCTTAAATTCTGTATCCCATGTTCTGTTTGTGACTGTGTCCCTTACCAGCAAAATGACCTTCATTAAATCCCTTACTGTGTCCGGGACTGAGTCTCCTTGACTTTAAAATAAGGGGTTCCCGGCTGGGCACAGTAGATCACACCTGTAATCTCAGTGTTTTTGAAAGGCTGAAACAGGTGGATCGCTTGAGGTCAGGAGTTCGAAGCTACAGTGAGCTATGATCTCGCCACTGCACTCCAGTCTGGGAAACAGAGCAAGACTCTGTCTCTAAAAAAAAAAAAAAAAAAAAAAAAAAAAAAGCTAAAATAAAATAAGGGGTTTCAGATGACTTTTAAGGTCTATTTTAGCTCAAAGATTTTATGGTCCTACGAAATCATTATTACAAACCTGAGCATAAAATGGTTAAATGTTGTTCACTAAACCCTAAAACCCATGTAAATGACAGGTTCATTCCTCTTCCTCCTTGCTTTGCCAGTCCGTCTTGAGGCATTAAGGTTTCTCCTGTTCTGTCTGCTTGCTTTTGTTCCATCTTCCATTAACAGTAAATTGACATAAAATTGCAGTTCCGGAGAAGTAGAGGTGTTGCTATGGAAATAGCTTTGATTCACTGATGTAAACATTAAGCTGTGGATGCTCATCCCTGAGGTGCTGGCAAAAAGAAAAAAAACACAAAATAAATGTTATAGTAAGAATGACATTTTGTTTTCAGAGAAGGTGGACCACACTCTGAAGGCTTGCTCTGAAGGTATATGTAGCACATTCTTACCAGGATTCAGATCTACCCCAGGTGTAACGATGCTCCCTGACTCACAGTGTCTGATGTGACGCAGGAAGACTGAACTGTGGTATTAGTCCGGTCCCCCTGCACTGTGTTACAAGGAAATCCCAGAACTCATCGTGATTAACATCAAATAAAAATACCTCCCCTTTAGGCTGATTGTCCCCTTTTGGGGCTTAATGAAATTTTATATTTTCCCTTCAAACTGACTATCTCATTTACTTTCAGAAAGAAGATTTCCTAATTTTGGCCCTTTCTTTTTTCTTTGGGCAGGGGGAGCGTTTAAAACTGTTTGTTTTTTAAACAAACATTGGGTATTCCAATAATTAAAATCATTTTAAACACAAAAAAATAATGGCACTCTGACTAAATGGCATTTAGTAGCCAGCAGGACACCTTGGGCCAGGTTGGTTTTACTCTAGATTTCATTGTCATCCCACCCCACTTCTTCCTTCACCAACATGCAAGCTCTTTTCCTGTCATGACAGCCAGATAGGCAGAGGCAGGTGCAGCCCTCATCATCAGTGGTTCTCAATTCCTTGATGTGAACAGGACAGCACAGGCATTAAGCTTGATCTGGCCTCTTTGCATTGTACAAAGTTAAACAGCTAAACGAAGTAAAATACAAAGGCAATACCTGTGGAATGCATACCACACATTGGTGGGCATGCCTCATTGCAATTTGCCTGCTTGTTTCTATTCTGTCATTTCTTTGGAAGGCAGCAGATTTTTCTCTTGTATTTCTGTATTCTTTAATTTCAATTTACTGAATTTCTTGATCTCATTCACATCCGGTTTGTCAGGCATAGAGGAAGTGGAGTGAGGCACGAGAGTAAATGGAATCTTGACCTTTTCTATTTCCCTCTCTCCCTTCCCCTTCCTCTTCTCCTTCCCCTTTCCCTCCCCCTCCCTCCCTCCCCTTCCCTCAGTCCCTCCCTCCCTCCCTCCCTCCCTCCCTCCCTTCCTTCCTTCCTTCCTTCCTTCCTTCCTTCCTTCCTTCCTTCCTTCTCTCTCCTTCCCTTCCTCCCACCTTTCTTCCTTCCTTCCTCTCTTCCTTCTTTCTTTCTTTTGTTCCTTACTTTTATTTAAGTATAATGTATATACAATAAAATCCACTCACTTTAAGAGTGCTGTTTGGTGAATTTTGATGATCGTAGACAGTATTTAACCTCCACCAACACTGAGGTTCAGAGCAGTTTCATCATCCTAAAAAGAACCCTCTTGTCCCTTTGCAGTTGATCCCCTTCACCCTCATCCCTAGTACCAGATAACCACACATCTGATTTCTGTCACTATGGTTTTACCTTAGTAGAATTTCATGTAAATGGAATCATACAGTATGTAATCTTCATGTTTCACTTCTTTCATTTAAAATTAATGTCTTTGATATTCATCCCTATTGTTGTATAAATGATTTCATTCTTTTTTCTTGCTATATGATATTCTGTAATATGAATACACAATTTGTTTATTCACTCACCAGTTGATAGAAATTTGGCTTGTTAGCAGTTTTTGGCTATTGTAAATAATGCTGCTACATACAAGTCTTTGTATGAACATGTGTGGTTGTTTCTCTTGAGTAACTACCTTGAAGTTGGATTGTTGGGTTGTATGGTAAGTGCACAAAGTTTCATAACTGTCTAAGAATCTACCATGCTGTTTCCAAAATGGCTGTACCAATTTGCATTCCCACCTGCAATGTATAAGGGTTCCAGTTGCTTCACATCCTTGCCAACACTGGGTATGTTCTCCCAATTTCTGTACTAATTTCTTGGTGGACTAGCACCAATCTGTAGACCATACTTCATGCAGGAGTACTCCAACCCATTCGTAGGAATATGTCCACGGTCCTAAATGTCATGGAATAAAGAACTAGGCATTCTAGTTATTGTCGACCAGAACAACAGGTTCTAATGCAATACTCCCCCCGGATCAAGAAAATAAATATGATACAAGTTTAGCTGTGTAGCTTTGTTATGGATTCGACTTTAATAAACACTGGGGTATACATTTTGTTTGGGAAGCACTTTAAGTTTTCTTTCTTAAATAATAGAAAAGAAATGTAATATCTATTTTTAAAAAATGAATACAAATCTAGCTCTGACATACCTTGTAGCATTGACAGCATGTCCATTGGCATCGTTTCTGGCCTCTTTAGCAGTGCCTGGATTGAGCTTGGTTGAGCCAGCCTATAATGGGTTGACACACAGCCAGGCTCAGGAGCAGAGGCAGTGACACATGTATTGGATGGGGTGGATGGAGTCAAGGAGATGCATCTTGAGCTAGAGTAGGAAAAAAGGCCAAGATGAACACTAATTAGGAGCCATGGAGAATGGAACATATTGCCGGAGGGAATAGCTGCAGCAACTTTTCTAACTGAGGTAAGTTTCTCAAAATCTGGTGATAGGAAGGAAGAAAAACCATTGATCTGAGATGTCAGGATAGCCTGTTAGCTTTTCAATTTTCTGCCCCTTTAGAGACACACTTGAGTCACTGCACAGCCAGATGAATAAAGTGTCATACAATTATGTGTGTAGATTAAAATCTGGATGCAACAGCCCCAAGGGCAAGTTGACTCAGCTGCTTATTTGTGACTAGAGAGCACATTAGAATAGAATATTCAGAAATGCACAAAACACACTTATAAAGGGTAGGTTGGAACTGAGTGAGATTATTTTGCTGAATAGTACAGAAGAAATTCTATTAAAAGATTAATTCTGCTGGGCGTGTTGGCTCACACCTGTAATGCTAGACTTTGGGAGGCCGAGGCGGGTGGATCACCTGAGGTCAGGAGTTCGAGACCAGCCTGGCCAACATGGTGAAACCCCATCTCTACTAAAAATACAAAAATTAGCCAGCAGGTGCCTGTAATCCCAACTACTCGGGAGGGTGAGGCAGGAGAATCACTTGAACCTGGGAGGCAGAGGTTGTAGTGAGCCGAGATCGCACCATTGCCCTCCAGTCTGGGCAACATAGTGAGACTCTGTCTCCAAAAATAAAAAAGATTAATTCACTAAGGAGAAATTGCACTATATTCAGAATAAAAGTAGCCATAAAGTGTGGGAGATCCTGTTGAAATAACACTGCCACCTTGCTAGTGGGTTATTTTCAGTAACATATTCTGGAATGGGATACAGTTATTGGAGACACATGAAGACCTGCATTAGAACAGGACACACAATTTTTCACAAAAAAATAAGTTTTGGGAAAGTTTATGTTGAAGAGTTATTTTGGGTAAGAGAGGGCTACAAAAAGTAAAGTATTATCATTTAGAATTTTGAAACTCTTCTCTTTTCCTCTGCAGTGTAATTAGCTTTAAGGGCATTTATGGTGGCTACAAGAATTAAAATGTACTTACCTTTTTTGGGAGGCTGTGGTGGGTGGATCGGTTGAGGTCAGGAGTTTGAGACCAGCCTGGCCAATATGGTGAAACCCCGTCTCTACTAAAACTACAAAAATTAGCCAGGTATAGTGGCAGATACCTATAGTCCCAGCCACTTGGAAAGGGCTGAGGCAGGAGAATCGCTTGAACCCGGGAGGCGGAGGTTGCAGTCAGCCGAGATCGCGCCATTGCACTACAGCCTGGGCAACAGAGGAAGACACTGTCTCAAAAAAAAGAAAAAAGAAAAGAGAAAAAAGAAAAAAAGGGACTTATCTTTAAGGCATAAAATACCAGTTAAAACTATCCATGTTTATGAATAGGGAAGCAAAGCATTGTCAGATGCTTTATATAGTTTATATACATTAAAATTTATTGCATACTCATTGCATCAGCAAGTATGAGGACTTCTCTAAAGGACTGATTTAAATGTAGTAAATCATTTAAGTATGAAAATAATTAGTGGACATCTGGGTTAAGGGGGCTGGGCTGCTAGGCAGAGAGATGCCTGACTCATCTCCCTGCTCCTCAACATGCATGCTTTCCAAAACGATTCATGAAAGCTTTTCATAGAATCAGCTGCCAATTGCAACTGCCCAGGCAGGAAACACATTAGTCAACTATCTGTCACACACCAGGAGAAGTTTTATTAGCCTTTGTCTAAGAGGCTGCTGTCCTAGGTTGAAGAAGAGGTTTCCACGTATCCCAAGACCCCAGAGATTGGAGCCTTCGTTGTTGAGCAACTGTCGGTTATCTCTCCATTGCACAGGGACAGCTCTAGGAGGTAGCCCTGGTTGTTTCACCCCGAATCAATACCTGCGTCTCTGCTTCTGCTCCAGGGCTGCAATGGACTGCAATGCACTTGGAGGAGGACAGGGTTGATCAGGAGCTCACTGCAGCCAGGAACAGGAAGGTAATACAGGTGCAAAACCAGGAAAGGTGTGGGGACTAACTGTCACCAGAGGTTTTAGTTTTTCTAGATGCTTTTTCTAACAGGCAATGAAATGTAAACTGCTTCAAATTATTCTGGAAAAACCCTCTAACTGACCCAACAATTAGGTACCAGGCCTTAGTAGATGTAATAATTTAGTATCTTAATAGGTGGTTAACCATTTGGGAGAAAGTAATTTAGATCTTCATCCCATATCATACATCAACATAAATTCCAAATGAACTAAAGAATTAGATGTAAATGATTAAGCTATAAAATAAGGAAGAATAAGTAGCTGACTGAGTTTGGGATGGGGAAAGGACTTTTCAGGCATACAAATCAATACAATATTACAAAAGAAAAATTTGTAATAGATTTGGCTACATAAAGCATTTATTACATCTGTATATATATATTAAAACCACAACCAACAGAATAAAAATAAAAATATAAAAATGAGTAAATATTTACAAATATTTATAGAAGTGAGTTCATGGCCTTATTATAGAAAGATTCCCTTCCCTCAATTTAAATTTAAATTAACAAAGCCTAGGAAAACATAATTCATAAATTTAATATTTTATGAAAATAGTAAATAACATTATTATGTCCACCCTCCCTAGGAACTAAACAAATCTAAATGAAAACAAGATTGTTTCTTTTTAATTATCAAAGAACAATGATTTTTTTTAGAACAATAATACACAAATATAACTAGATTAAGACCTTGTAGTTATTAGGTAGGGAAATTTGGCCATATTTGTTTAAATTTATTTTACTTTAGGAAATTTTTATCTACACCCTAATGAACTAGTCAAACATTCAATAATTTATATATAAAATATTCATCCATTAATTTATCAAAAGCTTGAAATCACCCAAATGCCTAACGTAAGATAAATCTTTACTACAGGCATCTTCTACCATGCCCAACTAATTTTTTGTATTTTTTGTAGAGATGGGTTTTGCCATGTTGCCCAGGCTGGGCTCAAACTCCTGGGCTCAAGCAATCCTCTCGCCTCGATAAATCTTATATAAACTACAGCACAGACACATATAAAATACAATTTTTAACTATTTATTTTAAATTTATTTAATTTTAAATTTCGTTTTTTTAAATGTTAATAGTTATTTGAAATGATACTTAAATGATGTGAGCAATGTTCAGAGTGCACTTTGTGGAACGTCATAAATACTTTATTTCACAATGAAAAGAATTCCTTATGTCTTTGATAATGCAATTAGAATGTAAGAGTAAAATTTAAAAAGTAATACAGAAAGCACAAAGGTAAAAGTAAAAATTAACCAAAACATCATCTCTAAGTGATAAAAGATGTTAAATTATTGAATAGCCTTTTGTATAGTTTTCTGTGTATATATGTAGCACACACTCTCATGTACAAATTTACAAAGTATTATTTTTATGAACTAGAGCATACAAATTCATCCTGAATTTAACTAATTTCCTTTCCTTCAAGATATTTATTTATATCTTTTAATGTGAAAAT